GAAGAGGATTCTTCCCCGGAAGCTCCAGATAAGCACCCTGCCTGGCCAACAGCTGGGTTTTGTCTGTGGGACATCCTGAACAGAGAACTCAGTTGGGCCCCCCCACCCACTGACTCCTGACCTACAGAGCTTTGATCTAACAAATCAGTGCTGCCTGTGCTAATTTGTTACACAGCAACAGCAGACTAGCACACTCACTTTACAGAGGAGGAAACAGCAGCTCAGAGAAGTCAAATGACTTGTCTATGGCCACAGAGTCAGCAGATGGCCAAGCTAGGATTGGAACTGAGGTCTACTCCCAGCTAACTTTGTGATAATTTCCTTTCACCCCAATCAGGGCTCAGGAGAGATGAGGCCCTAAGTTGGCGAGACTGAGAGCAAGTGTGTGGAAGATGATGAGTTCTTGGAAGTGGGACAGATCTAGGGACCCTCTGCCTGTGGGAAGACAGGGAACAGATGTGTGTGAACATCCCCAGGGAACAGCTGGAGGTCAGAAGGGCAGCTGTTGGTGGGCTGAAGTTCCTCAGAGCAGGACTTAGCCCAGGCCTAGAGGCCCTGGCTCACAGCACTCACCCCCGCTGCTCCGTCTGCCCATCCACGTGGAAGAGCACCAGCTGCCCCTCCCGGTCGTGGCCCACGGCTGTCCTGGCTGACATCACGTTCACAAATTTGCTGAAGGAACCTGAAGGAGAGGCAGCCTGGCTGATCACCTGGCCCTTTGGGAGGCCTACTAAGCTCTGCCTGCCACTTCCTGCCAGTCACTCTCCACAGAGACATCACTCTCCACCTCCAGGTCTATGCATGCAACATCTCTCTTCCCGTGCCCCGCCCCAGTCAGTCTCCGGAGTAGCCAAAGTGCTGTTCTTCAATGTAAATCAAGATCAAACTCCAGGTGAAAATGCTCCAACGGCCTCCACTGTCCTTAGAACAAAATCCAAATGCCTTACCAAGGCCTGGCATGACCTCCTTAGCCTGCTTCTACCTCATCTCCTGGCGGCCCACGCCTCTGAACACCCTGCAGCCACTTTCTACTTCTGGCTGGATTGCACTTCTCCCCAGCTCCTCCCATGGCTTGCGCCTTCTGATCTAAGTCACCTCCTCCATGAGGCCTTCCCTGACTGCACAGTCTAAAACAGCCCATTTCCACATCAGGGCCATGGGGAACCTTCCCTGTCCCAGTATTCCATATCCCAGTGGTTCTCAAAATTGAATGACAATCAGAATCACACAGGGGGGTCCTTAGAACACACACTCTTGGGCCTCACCCCCAGGGATTCTGATTCTGTAGCACTGAGGCACAGGGGTAGGGGCTGAAGTTCTACATTTATAACAGGCTCCTCGGTGATGCTGATGCTGCCGGTCCACAAACATTTTAGGAACACTTCTCTATTCTCTTGTCCATAGCTCCTTTCCTCTAACTTTTTCTTTCTTAGCACTTACCACTTCTTTTCAGTATACTTAATATCTATTTCCTTTCTTATATATTCCACAATACAGGGATCTTATCTGCTTTAATCCCCACTGATCCCCAATACCTAGAATAGTACTTGTTGAAAGACTTACCCCACCACCCCATTGGTCCTGGTTTTCAAGAGGCTTGTTGCCAACACCCCCACTCATCACCCACATCTCATCATATTCATTGCCCTTCCCCCACCTGTCTCCTGTGTCTCATCGCACTCAGCCGCCTGACTCTCGTTAATGTAGATGCTTCCGTTGCGAATCAGCCATACGACCCCGCTCAGCAGCTGCACAAACGGATTCTCAGTGTCTAGCACCTCCTCTTCAGATAGGTACCTGGACACAGGGAAGGCATGAGATTCAGTCAACAGCAGTGGCAGCTGCAGGTAGTGCCCCCCCCACCCACCCACACTACCCCTGCCTGCCCCACCACCTGGCTACTTGATTCCTCCTCATGCCCAGGTACCTGCCTGGTCCTGGAAGCAATCTTTGCAAACAGTCTACGCATCCCAATCTACACTTCATTTAACAGAAACAACCATCCCCAACAGATCACAAGTCCACCTATGGCCCTCAATCTCTCAGGCCATCACCCCAGCCAAACTACCATCTGATGCCTGCAACAGCCTCTTAATTGGCCTCCTTGCTTCTACTACAGCCCAACCAGCCTAGTATCCAGCAGGGTCAGAGCAAGCTTTTAAATGACCAAAGTCAAAATAAATAAATAAATGATCAAAGTCGGTCCTGTCCTCCTCTGATATTTTGCTCCTTCCTTCAGTCCCTCACACACACCAAGCCCCTCTGCACCTCTGAGCCTTAGTGCTTGCTGTTCTTATGACTGCAATGCTCTTCCTCCAGTTCTGACTCTGGCTGACGTGTGATTAATTTTCATGTCTCAACTCAAAGGTCACCTCCTCAGACAAGTCTTTCCTGATCACCTTCCCGAAACTCAACACTCTATTTACAATCTGTTCAACGCTTCACTGCACATATACAATTTGAATTAACTTAATTATCTCCCTGGGTTTTATTTATTTTTCCTAGTAATGGGGTGGGGGGGTAGTGTCCTTTTTTGAAGGCAAAGACTGTGCTTGTTCACAGCTATATCCTCAGTACGCAGCACATTTACTGACACAAAGCAAGCGCTACACGATACTGGAAAATGAATAAACTCTACAAGGAAGGCATTACTTTTCCCATCCTGAAGATGAGAAAACGGAGGCTCAGTTTGGTGGGGACTTGAACACGGCGGCACGGCTACACCTCAACTCTCAGGCCCTCTGCTCTAGATTCTAGGGCCTAGACAGTCACGGGACTCCCTGCCTCCTCACCCGGTGACCAGGGTCCCGTCGCGGCGGATCCCGAACTGCGCGTTCTGCAGCCCCCCGGCGCTGCTCACCCGCCGCCCGTCGCTCACAACGTTCCCCAGGCACTCGCCCGTATCCATGCGGAAGAAGCCGCCATTCTGGGCGACGCTGCAGCCGGCCGCCCGCGCCGTCTCCTCCACGGTGGCGCGGCGCCTTGAAGCGCAGCCGCCGGGCCCGCCGGGCTCCAGCACCGAGAAGGTGCGCAG